ACATGCCTGTGAGCATATGTCACGGTTTAACCCCTGTAGGCAGCTAAATCTCACCCAGCTGCTCACTCACTCCTCCCCATTGGGATGGGGGAGAGAATCAGAAGGGTAAAAGTGAGAAAACTTGTGGGCTGGGATAAGGACAGTTTATCAGATAAAGCAAAAGCCATGCACACAAGCAAGGAAAAACAAGGAATTCATTCACTCCTTCCCATCACAGGCAGGTGTTCAGCCATGTCCAGGAAAGCAGCGCTCCATCACACATAATGGTGACTTGGGAAGACAAACACCATTAACTCCAAATGCCCTCCCCTTCCTCCTTCTTCCTCCAGCTTTTGTATGTTATGGAATATCCCTTTGGTCATCTGGGGTCAACTGTCCCAGCTGTGTCCCCTCCTGACTTCTCGTGCACCCCCAGCCTCCTCGCTTGGCAGGGCAGTCTGAGAAGCAGAAGAGGCCTTGATGCTGTGTAAGCACCCTTCAGCAGTAATTGAAGTATCAGGGTGTTATCAACATTGTTTTCAGTGCAAATCCAAAACATAGCCCCATACAAACTACTGTGAAGAAATTTAACTCTATCCCAGACAAAACCAGTGCAGCATATCAAACTAGTTTTGCTAGTAGACAAGTAATAGTATTTAACTTGTGTAAATGTAATACTGTGTGGGATTTTTTTCTATATAGAGGGGTTTTTTTCATTTGCTATTGTCTTGTTAATATTTCCATATATATCTTTGAGGGTTATAACTCTTCAAAAAGAAGTTTTTTGTGGGTGTAGTGAAAAGGAAGAGCAATATTAAAGCTTGGAATTTTCTGGTCTTCAAGACAGTTTGGAAGAAAAACAAGGTTAATTCTTAAAACTTCTGTTAATACAGGAATAAAAATCTTGATAGACCTGATGCTTGGCCAGGCTTCTTTTTTGTTTTTTTGGTTTTTTTTTTAGCATCCATCAATACTTTTGTTCTAAGAACAATAGCATGGGATCCAGCATGGCTAAAATAGCAGGACTGAATAAAATATTTCGTTCACAGTTGAGACATAAGAAAGAATCTAGCCATTTGACAAATACCTTAAGAGCAGATTAATGAAAGTATGCATAACTTTGAAAAAGTGTCAAGTACATCAGTTATATTGTAAAGCAACAAAGGTACTTTGGCCATTTACAGTATCAACTCCCCAAAAGTCTTTTTGGTTTCTACGTGATTCCATCCCTGTTCCTATACTAATGCACTGACATGAAGAGAAATGTTCTTCAAAGCTGTATCTAACCTCAGCCTCTGATGGGTTGTTGGGACTAACCCCTGCTGAAGGTACCTAAAGAACATCTTTTGCGTGATTAGATGATAAGCTCTGACTGATTCAGTCTAGTTTCTCCCTTTGTTGGGACCGCACATGGGTAACTTTGGTCCAAAGCAGATTTTCTGAAGTTCTGAGCCCAAACAGGCAAAGATGGTAATAGAATCCTGGTATGACCTTAGCCGTAGCGATTACTCCTAGACTGCTATTCTACAATATATTATTAAGGGTTGCTTTTCAGCAGTTGAATGAAAAAATCTCTTTGAATTATGCTTTTCAAAAATTAATGCGGGCAATTCATAATCACAGTAGGACTCTCTGGGGCCTGCGTCCTGCTGAGATAATGCTGCCCGCTGAGTCACTGCAGGAGATGGTTGTCCTTTGTACTTCTTCACAATTCACTGGAGACATAGTATTCTTCCTCCCCCTGCAGTGTCCTGTTGCTCTGGATTTATATTCCTTCTGTTGCAGCTATCATAATTAATTTTTCATTCTTCTGCCTAAAGTGAATAATCCAGTAGATCACTTGCACCTCAAACTTCAAACTCTGCTCTTAAAATGACAAGTATATATTTTTAATGGGCTATTCTTTGGAAGTTTAGTGGGTCAAATTGTGGGATGCTAGTTGGTGTGGGCTAAGTGGATTTCCATCTGCTGCATGCAGTTGCTTTTAATGGGTTTAGTGGAATTTGGCCCATTTAACTCTGTTCCTTGCAGGAAGAACGATGCGAAGTCTAGCATGAAAGAAGAATAAATAAGAAAAGATATGAAAATGTGCTAGAGGAAGTGTCAGTATTACTTTCCTGTGCTTTGACAAAATACTTACTTCCTGTGAGCCTGAATTCACACAACAATACAACGAAGTTATTTTTGATCATTTAAACATAGAAGTTGTTTTGTTGTTTTTTCTTCCTGCACTTCACATCTGGGTGAAGGACAGAAGACAGTAGGAGTGTTGAAATAGTTTTAACCATTAAAATGATAGTGTAAAATCAACAGTATAATGTCTGAAGAGAGGGCTTATCACTTTTTTTTAAGACTAAACCTGCCATCTCGTTCTTACAGTTACTGATAGCCTAGAAGGAATGCTTTTGATATTATGTCTTACAATAGCACCAAGAGTTCTCATGTAATCATCAGCTCCTCACTGAGATAACATTAATGTAGCTGGAGACAGTTGCAGCATTCACAGTGTACAAACTCAGTATTACACATGCACATAAGTCTATTGACTCAAAATAATCATAAATTAGTGTGTGGGGAATGTATTTTTGAGTGCTAAGGCTTAGAAATCTAAATTCATTTCCTCAAGCTTGGTAAAAAGTGGTGAAATACCAGTGCTGATGTATTTGTTTTACAGCTTTTTACTGAATCTCAGGGAGGCAGCATAGAGCTACGTTGACAGGTTTTTAGTATTTAATTTCTTTCTTAGACTGAAATAAAGTTACAAGGGTGATAATAACAATACAGTGTTGAGCGAAAAATAAGAAATTTTAAAATAATTCTGTATTGCTCTCTTTAGGCATCTCAAAACACCCTAAATTCCATGTGGTATATGGAGGTTGGTTACATCTAAGTTCCTGTTTGAATGTTCAGAGCACTGTGGCTGAGCGCTGATGGAAGAACTAGAATCCAGCACTAAACTTATTCGTAGTTGCTGCGTAACTTTTTGTGCTCATCAAATGAGTAATTGACTTTTTTGCTTTGGCTTCATGGCTCAAATGTGCTTATTAAATACACACTTTTGTTATTTTTGCTTTCCTATTGTTGCATTTACTGTGGCATGCAATGTTTGTGCTGTGGGTTGCCCTGTGTTATGAGTAACTTGCCTTTCTCCTTTAGCTGCCATTAGCTAATGCAAATGCATTATAATATAGCCTATTAGTGAACTTTAAACAGACATGCAACTTACAAAACCTTGATACACAGGTGAGAGAACTTCGAGAAAGAGCAAAGGCTTACAGGCAACGAGTAGAGGGAACACACTTCTCCCGATACCATCTCAATCAGATCCTGTCTGATAATAACAGTCTTTGGGACGTGTCCTCAAATTCCAGTTCAGAAGAAGGCATCAGCAACAACATCAGAGCACTAGATCTTGCCGGGTAAGTATTCCTGCTTATTATTCTGTAGCTTTGAAACAGAGCAAAATGCTGAATATAGGCTTAGCATAACTGTGAGATCTTGGATGTTTGGCTGTATTCAAGATACAATTTGACAGGGTGCTAGATAATCTCATCTAGGCTCTCTTTCCCCAAGAAAAGTTGGACCTGAGGGTCTTTCGAAGACCCTTCCAGCCTGGGCTGTTCTATGATTCTGTGATATGTAAATTGTCTAGAACAGATGAGGGCATTTACCTTGTTGCAGAGACATCAGTTGATCTGTGCTCAAATTGAAAACGAGGCACAGTCCAGTCTTCTGAAAGAAGAGAAAGTTACTCCTTTATAGTTCTCCACAAATGCATATTTAGTGTGGTAACCTTAGTCTTATCAAGTCTGGAGGAATTTCACGCTGAGTCATACTGAAGTAATATTCTTCTTTGCACTGGAATGAGATGAAATATGTTTTTGCCCACTCAAGATGTTATCAATATGCTTCTCAGGATTAATTAATCTTGTGGTTCAGACTTAGACACTGTTTAGTTCTGAGATGAAAACTTAGGAACTGGAATGGTGTACATCCATTTTCTCCTTCCTTTGAAGGCCATGAGAATTGGCAGATAGTAAATCTGTTGCTAGGAAAATTCAGAATTAGTATTTTAGTCAAATGTACAGCAGCTGTTGCTGAAGCAAGGAGGAAGAAAAAAGCCATTTGTGTCTTCTCTGAGACCTGATATTTAAAAACAGTGCCTTGGGTGCTTCTGTCTGCAGTTCACTTAAACTGCTGTATGTGCACTATTTGTCTTGTGTGTGGGACACAGATCTACCCATTTGCACGACTGTAGCTCTAATAAGGGTTGGGAGATGACACATAAAAGTATTTATTACACTATATTGCTTTACTATTTACACTATTTTTTGGTTTACTAGCTTGTTTTTTGCCTGTGAGATACAGATCCTCTTACTAATCTCATTTCTGTGCACTGGGCTAATTTGTACTCTGAACTGTGAGCAGCTGAGAGTTTAAGACTTTCAAAAGTTGTGTTTAAAAAAGCAACTTCTAAACTGCTTGGCTTTCAAAATTGTGCCATCAGACAGTCCTTATGCATGGAACATTATTTTTTGAGCACTTCTGATAATTTAACTTGTTGTTTAAATTGGAAATAGAGCCCTAATTTTGCATTCCATTTTTGGAAATGGTAATCCAGAAAGTTTTCATAGAATCTGGTTTGCAAATGGGGTGTGCTTAAACATCAGTTAAAACTTCAGTGGAAATTTAACCATTCATCATGTCAACTGTACCACTTTTTAATATCTGAGCTGTACTTTTGGCAAAGGACTTAAGTGGATGAATGTGTTTTACAGACACGTGTATATCATGCAAATCAATGGTAGGAAACACTGCTTTCTTTGTTACCTAGAGTTTCTGAAAGAGAGACTGCACCAAGCCCCAAAATGCTGCAGCAACCTGACTCCAGGGAACAGCCACACCAGGACAGCACTGAGAAGAAAGACAAGTCAGATGCTTTAACTGTTCCAGTCAAAAGGCGTTTAGTTTGGGGTGAACAAGAAGGTACTGAAGAAAGGGAGAGTCGGCAATCAACAGAAGAGGAAGACAAACAAGATGAACAGGCTGCAGTCCTGGCTCAGCAGTTAGAAGGAAACAAGGATGACAATGAAGATAAGAAAATTGAAGGGTAAACCTGAACATTTTTGTGGTATATATATAGTTTTTTCCTCTAACATCTCAGAAATTTGTAGATTAACAAATTTTTGGTTTTAAATCAGATTTGCTTGAGAGTATAAGTTGGTGTGACACTGCTTTTGTTTTTAACAGTATGATAAGGAATGAGAAAGTTCAAGACTGGTTGATGGAAATGGATCTATCATTAAGAATACTGGATTTCTAACTTGCAAGACAGAAGTTTATAGAAACATGAACAATTCTAATCTTTTTTTCCAAAACTTTAAAATATCCAGTATGGACCTCTCAGGGCAGACTGTTCATTACACAGCAGCCAAGTGTAGTCAAAATTAAAGCTCACAATTTGCTTCAAATTTACAGTGTAGGACTGATAGGGCTGAAAGGTTAGAATACATGCTAATCTTACGCTTAAGCATCTGTTTTTCTTAAAAAAAATCATGGGCAAAGGTAAAGGACTTGGGAGAAAAAAATAACTAGCATACAATAAGCACTGGTGATTATGTTACTGAGCACAGGTGGGAAAAAGGTGGAGAGGTGTTGAGAAATAATGAGAGATCAATTCAGTATGTGTATAGTATTGTATTTGACAGTTGAACGTCCAAATTATATCTAGTTACAGAAGTCTCTGGCATTTTACTGTGCAAGTTTTGCACACTTTTTTGGTAGAACAGTATTTTAGTTTGATAGGTATTTAAATCTGAATAACTTTGGCCTTTGTTACCATACCATCTTAGCATTTTGCATTCCTCTTGGGTTTTATCTTTGGTGTTGTGGCATGATTCTAAGGTAAGGAATTGTAATTGTCCCCTTTGGGATAATATCCTGTATGCAAAATCCAGGCAAAGAAAGGTTGAGATACTACACTCAAATAGAAATTAAATGCAGGCTTTCAAAACTGTCATCCTGAAAACCTTAAGTTTCTAATTCTAGAGATTATCTAGTTCATAAACATGTCTCTGATAGACATTGAAGGTTTTCTGTTATCCTGCAGTGTGGCTGTGTGTGTGCTGAGGCTGTGCTCTGGACTTGGCTGTGCAGAGCAACTTGACACTTGTGTGTTGTCTAGGCCTGCGTGAGAGCTAGAGAGAAGGCGTTCTTTGCCTAGATGTCCTCAGAGCGTGTCTAGCGTTCACTGGTAGGGTCAGGTTCCTTGCATGGTGTGGGTATGCCACCACCTCCTTTTGAAATGCATCTGGAGGAAGAGGGCAGATGTGGTAGTGCTTATTTATGTAATAACCTTGGGGCTAGACTGGTTGCATAAATGTGGGATACTTGATTTCAGTTCCACCACATTGACTGAAAAAGTCAAACCCACATTACTACCTCTAAGGTGGCAATGAGGTTCAAAGTTTTTCTGGGTCACTACTCTTTCCAGCCCTCCTATTGAGTCTGTGCTATTGTGCAGCAATACATTCAAGGTTTATCGGGACAGAAAGAGCCTGAATTTGCATCTTGAGACTGTTTATGTATTTTATCCAGTTACATAAAAAAATTAATACAGAAACTGAGGCTCAGGGCCTGGAATGCAGGACTCCCCATTGCATGCAGATGTTTTAGCTACAGGCTGTTGGTGTTTTATGGCCCTAACTGTCTTGCCTTAGGCTTCATTGCAGGAATGTATTAGAAACAAAAAGCTTGAGTGCAAGACTCTTGAGTCCTTAGCTAATCCTTCAATCATTTCTCATTTTTGCAGTGAGAATGGCTTAGTATTGAATTCTTCTGCAGCTGTGTCAGATTCCTCATCTGTATCCTCGAGGACAGGTGGCAGGCTTCCTACTCCGAAGCTGAGAGCACTTGGTGGAGCTCAGAGGACTCATCATGATCTCACTACCCCAGCTGTTGGTAAAAACTTTCAAATACAAAGCAGTATTTCAAGAACTAAAGAAAAAAAAAAAGACATGTATGAATTCATTTAGTAGGTTATTTAAGGTAATAAAGAATTTTTCATCTTCTCCACTACAATAGGAGGTGCGGTTCTAGTGTCTCCTCCTAAATTCAAGTCTTCATCTTCACAGCAGAGAACACGAGGTTTAGGAACAGACCCTTCTACAGCTAAGCAAAGTGCAAGAGAAGCTTCAAAAACAAGGTCCTTCCAGGTGAGCCAGAAAAGAGACTTACCATTATGTATTTTAGGATTGTGCTTTTTAAGTAATTGTGAATAATTCATTTAACAATTCTTTTTCTTGAGTTGTCATTTACTATTCTAAATTTTTTACATCAGTGACTAAAAAAAGCTGATGTCTGAATAAATCATTTTTTTGGGGTGTCAAGCAAAGGAGTCGAGACTATTGGAGTGAGATTGGATGAGCTCCATTTTGGCTTTTTTTGCTAAATGCACAGGATCTGGTTTTTTTTGGTTTTGTTTTGTTTTTTAAAGTTGTCATCAGGAGCTGTTGATTTCCCCATTAACATTACTGTAGCTTGCCACTGACATAGGGCATAGCTCCAGATTCCTTGACTTGAAAGAAGTTTAAGGAGGAGAGGTTGGGTGCCTGTGTGCAAGATAGATAAATGTGCCATAATAGTTTCATTCTCCCTTTATTTTGTGCTTCTTTTACTTTGCAGCTTGCACTGTTTCTAAAAGAAAAATAGAAACATTTACAAGTTGTTTAACTGTCTTCCTCTCAAAATTGTGAGGTTTTTGTGAAGTTGTGCTTAGTCTGTGTTCTACAAAACCAGCTAGCAGTTTCACTGCGTACAGTCACTGTAGTAAGTTCTGTAATAGAAGCAGACACAATTGTACGAGAACTTGTTTGGGTTGGTTTAAAATCTAAAATCACCGTATTTTGCTGTAAAGAAAATAAGCTTTTGGGTTGACTTGACTAGATTACTTTCAGACCATGTTAAACACTTGTTATTAGGAATAGATTTTCTTTGAGCTGTCTCACAAGGTTGAAATACTTATTCTTCCAGTACCCTCATGAGAGGTGTAACAGTGTAAAGCCAACATTGGCTGCATATGTGAGGATCTGTACTGGAAGGCTGTAGATGAGATGTTGGGTGTTTTGTGTTTTTCTTATTTTTTTTTCTTTCTGTTGCATTTTAGCCTGATGTGGAAGTGGAAGCTGTTTCACTCCTTACCTCTCCACCTGCTGGGCTGGGAACTTTGGATCCTCTGCCGCTTAGGCAGGATCAGTGGCCTCCTAACAGTGTTTCTGATGAGCAGGTTCCTCTTGCTTCAGCCCATCAAGAGCTTTCCTCTACACCTCCTGTGCTGAAGTCAGCCAAAAGCTACTCTGTGCCTTGCTGGAGTCCCTCTCGTCGTATTCAAGGGACTCTCAAGGATCCAGAATTCCAGCATAATGGTGGGTTTTGTGTACTAACTGGCAGTGTTACAGTGCTGCAGGATGGAAATGGCTGCTGTGCAGTGTTCAGGCCAAGAAAGTGCTGATCTTGCTGCCTTACTGACTCTGTAAAGAATGTGGTGTTTGTAAACAAAAGCTTTTCTACTATATGTTTAGTCTTGCTGAGGAAATGTGCACAACTCTCCACCTTAGTTTCAGATTCCACTAATATCATTGTATTCTAGTGGTCTGTTGTCTAATTTTGCTTTAATTTCAATAATTACTTACTCATTATGAGAATAATTTGGTTAAGCATGACCAGTTGTAATTTTTAATCTTTAGGCCACAACTGGGTGCTGTGACACTTTTCCAGCTGCAATTACCAACAGCGGTGTGTAACTGGGGACCTTTGTAGTCTCGTATTATTTTGCAGGAGTTCTGGATTTCTGAGAGATAAGCTCCTTAAATGTTTTTACAGGATATGGAAACAAAAAAAGCCATCTATAAAAGATTTATTGGATATTGAGAAAAGCCATTTCTTGGCTAAGGAGGAATTTGTGCTGGAGCTTTTCTTTTCAAAGATTTTTAACAATGTTTAGGGGTATTGGGGACATAAATTTGATAAAGAATCCTTCACCCCGTAGTCAAAATAAAGTTCATGTGCTTAAGTCTCCATTCCAGAAAGACTTTCTATAGCTGCTTGAGGTCCCACGATTCTTGGTCCTTTTATTATAATGATTAGCTAAACTAAAGTAGTATTTCCATTCTAAGTGGAATGGTGAAATCTGGAGAATTTCCTTGGCAAGAGGTTAGAATCGGTGCTATGTTCTAGCTGTGCACCTTGAGTGTAGTTCACTAAATAGCTTGTAGCATCTACCAAAGATAGGTGCCTTGAGAAGAATACAGTGGAGTAAGTTTATTTTACCTCAGCTTAAAGGAGTCTTGTGGAGTTTTTGGTGTGTTTGCTATTTATAGGACTCGTGTTTTGGAAATAATGTTGTAACATTTTTTAAATGTTCTAAAATGAAATATTATCCTTTATCTATTTTGAAATGATTCAAAACTGTGTCTTTGACTTTTTGCCTTAGGGAATGTTGGCAGTACAAAAATGAGATCTTTCCAGTTACCCCTTCAGGAAAGAAACTGTAACGATGAAGGTATGTCTTGTCCCAAATTATTATTGTATATTACCTTGATTAATTTTAACTTTTGCACTAATGTGAGAAGTTTTTGAATGCAATAAGTAATACTGGTTTATGTGTTTGCATGAATAACTACTGCATCGTTTCATCAAAATAATGTGAAAATGTTAATCCTAGTAATCTGAAGTGTGAATATGAAGATATAGTCTAGTATGAATAAACCATTAAATGCGGCTGAAAATTAAATAGACCATTGTGGCTCAATATGGTTACTATAGCTGCTTGGTCACCTCCATACCCAAAATCATTTCCTCCCCACACATTTTTTAAGCCTTTGTGTTGATAGCAACAGAAGCAAACTGCAAAGTGATCACAGCCCAGGTTGCAGCTGCAGTAACTTTGGATGCAACTTAAAAGGTACCAAAAATAATAAGATTTTGCTTGTGAGACTTCAGCACCAGATATGCAGCATAAAATGATTCCTCTGACTTTAATTTTCACACCTGTTCCTCTTCTCAGTGTATTAGGGGTACTTAGGGCATCCCATTATTCTGATTGCTGTACAGGCGGGTTTTTTTTCTCTTTACTGTAAAGCTTATCTGGGGGAGCCGCCAGTGCACAGCCCACCAGTGCATCTTCTTGGCCCTTCTGTGGGCAGACACAAATAACCTCTTTCAGTAGTGTGAGTCAACCAAAGGCACTGTAGCCTCATTAGCTTGAGCTGCTATACATTGTCTCTTGGCATGGTGTATGAGGTTGAGCTCAGTATGGTGCTGTGCTAGTCACAGTCACCTGTGTTTGGTTCAGATTAGAGTATGGGCAGAGCAAGCTTATATCTGATATCTTATTTATAGATATACCCCAGAGCAACCAAAAGCTTTTTTCTGTACCCCTTATGCTTGTTTGCTCCTTGGTTTTAACCAAGGTTCAGGCTGATTCTCTATTTTACTCATTGCAGTTGGCTGGAAAATGTGTGGGTTGTGCAGATGGCTCAGCCAAGCATCTGTGTATCTGCATAAAACATGCAAAATCCTATAGTACTCTGCAGCTTCCCACAAGCTTGCTGCACACAGATTAAATGCTGTAACTGCCGTTTCTTTTTCTTTTTTTTTCCTATGAGCTGAGTGATGATGTATGAGCTTTCAGAAACATACATCTGCCAGCTCACAGATATTTCCTGTGTCCATATTTGTTCATGTGCATACAAACCTGGAAATTATTCCAATGTTTGCATTTCTGCTTGCAGAAGTGTAGTTAGCAGTTTTCTCATACATGGGAATGTAGTTGTTATGCATAGTATGTGAGCCTGTTATGAGTTGTTTGGATCACTGTATTTCAAGAATTTAGAAATGCTGCTGAAAAAGTTAACAGAAACATTGACAAAATACAGGTCCCGTTAGGATGGAGTTGTGGAATTTTTTGTTGTTTTATTGTTAGCAGGGGGCTGGAAAGTAGTGATACAGTTCTTATTAATCCATTGCAGGAAAATGGGTGTAATTAAGGTCATTTTTCATAGAGAGCATCTTGACAGAGCTGTAGCAACATTTTAATAACAAAGTATAATGTGCTTTATCAGAGAAGCAGCATCCAGGCTGCTTAATTTTAGTTCTGCTGGGAGTGAAGTGACCCTGTAGTCAGAAGGAAGACCTTTCGAAAGTACACTTTCAAAGCATGCTTCTTGTTGTCTTTGTGTTAAACTTCCTGTTTTCTTCAGAAGACACATTTCTTCTTAGAGCTTGTAGCACACTAGCTGATTTTCGCACAGAAGGGCTCTTTCAGCAACATAGGTTCTGATATTTTAGTCATGTTATTCTAAGGTGGTCTGCTTTGCTTGAAGCGATGGGTTGCTTTGGTGAATATGTTATTACGAGAGTCTAGTCTATGCAGAGTTCAGTGTCAGAGGAATGATTTCTGAGGTCACCTGACGCAGGAGAGTAAATGTAACAGGTGACATGAAGATTTGGGCAATTCCCAGGTGACAGTAGGGATCTCATTCTGGAATTTGTGAAGAGTTGGGCATGTAGCTCTCTCAAACTTACCGAGCATCCTAGTAGCTTTCTAGTGAGACCTTTCTCCAGCATGTCAGTTACCAAATAATAGAATTAAAGTGTAATGTGGTACTACTTTAGCATCCGCTGTGAAAGAGAGTATAAAAATAGTTGCACTTTCAAAGTCTACCATGAATGTCAACTGTGTTTTAAAAATGTATATTTAATCTTTCTATTTACTTTTTCCCTTGTTGCTTTCCCCACAGATGACAGGCTGTCTCAGATTTCTGCTCGCTCAGCAGCATCGAGCTCGCTTGCATCTCAGATACTGGAACGAGCTCAGAAGAGGAAGGATTTCTGGGGCAAGACATAATCTCTCCCACCTGTTGTATAGAAACTGTTCTGTAAAATGATTTATTTTTTTAAAGTTTGTAGTGTACATTGTAAAAAATTTGTGATTGTAGATATCGTGCAGCATCCTTTCACTTAGAACTAATATGATCCAACTGTTAGGACTTGTCATCCCGATTTAAAATTTCAATATCTAAACCAGTGCTGAAAACGTAGGTCCTTTATATCTGAGTTATGTCTTAATTACACAATGTCACAACAGCCATGTGGGGTTGATTTTTTTTTTTTCCACAGTCGCACCTCTTGAAACTGAGACAATTATTTTTTATCCAACCTGTGTGTTACTTTTTAAGGTATTCTGCTTCAGTCACGCAGTATGACCTGGGACAGTATTCAGGGGCAGAACCATCAGTCACTAACCACCTCAGTTGCTCGATTTTAACCAGCTGTCTTAACGGCAACTGTGGTAAATTTGTTTATGTTACTGTATGAATTGTCAGTACAACACTGCTGTAACAAAAAGTTACTTTTACTGCTTACTGCTTTTAACCCGTTACAAAAGAATTCCTATTATTTCTTAATGAAGTTAGCATGGGATATACTAGACCTTGAGAAAAGGACATTAAGCTTTAGGGTTTGTTCATTGCCCACGGGTTTTTGGCCAGGATGACTGAGTACAGTACTGCAGTTTATCAGACGTACTGATGTGAACATTTGTCTTTTTGTGGGCAAGACTCATGTTTAGTGTTAATTTCAACTTCTCTAGGAAAAGCAACCTCAGCCACCTTCAACAGTGGCCTTCCCCAGCCCCACTTCAAACTCAGGTGTTTAGGAGTAGTTGATCTCTTAAAGTAAACTCAGAAGAATGTTTTTTCTTGACTTTGACATTTTAATTATCTCTCCTCCTGGTTGCCCGTTTCTGGAAAACTGGAATACTGTTATGATTGGCACAGTGAAAAATGTTTGTGATTTCTGCTGACATACTGTTTTATCTTTCCAAGCGATGCAAATAAGTTAACATGACGTAGAGGAAGTAGGTGGCTAGCAGGCAGTTTGGTGGTTCTTGTGTGGCTTCAAGTTTTAATACTACTTCATTTGGAAATTTTATACAAGAACAATTTGAACTTTGTACACATTTGCTTACATTTCAATTTTGTACACAATTATGTATGCATATTACTGAAAATAAAAAAGGTGGTTTGATTTGTTTCTATTCAAGTTAAGCCAGATAAGTTGGTAGACCCTATTATGTTGGCACTTCTCTGTTTAGTTCTGGAATATCTGTGGACTTTTGAAAGACAAGATGTTACCTTGGAGGTGATCTTCAGAAAGAATAAATTACTAAAGCTAGATATGTCAATACTTGAAATCGTGACCCAGAACAGATGGGTGCTGCACAGGCTGGAAGGCTGCAATGCTTAAAGGGCCAGTCCTCAACAAATGAGGTGTTGATTTAAAGAGTGAGTGCTATCCAGCACTGATCGTGTTAGAAAACAGTGTCCACTTCTTGCAGAAATTGTGCATTGCACTAGCTTCCTACCAGTGGAATTGTTTGAAACAAATCAAAGTATTTTATTTTATCTCAAGGTCGTCTGGGATTATTTTGTGGCATGCACTTAATATGTAAGTCATAATTGTTCAGGAAATTTCTACTGAAAGAGAAAGTGTATTTGTGTGCAACAGCCTTCATGAAAATTGCCAGTTTTCCTCTAAAATTACAGGTTTTTAGTGGAAAACTTAATGGCTAAAAAATGGAAATATTTTTGTTCAGGAGGGAACGTTGCCACAATGTATTGCGGGTGGGTTAATTTTGGGTGTCTTCTGTCTACATTCTTCATATTCAACACGTTCTTGTTGTTCTCATGGCCAAGAGCTCTCATCATCCATTGCTTCTCTTCTGTGGTACCTCTAATTTGACTTTCATGAACTGTCTCCTCTTTTAAAATCTTTTGGTTTT